AAATGGAACTTACTTCCAAGTAAGCACTGGCAAGATTGTGCTGCTTATTACTAAACAACATCAATTAAAATAAAGAATACTGTAGAACTCCACTAGAGGAAGCTGTTGTGCTAAGAAAAAACTTCAGCTATAAGTTCATTAACAACAATTCTAACTTCCTGGAGCTGTTTTGTAACCTTAGATCCACTCTACTTTTGGGTGAAAATAAACAAGATGCTGAGTTTAAAATTAAAAATCTGTAAGACTACAAGGTAACAATTAGAGATGGGCATGAACTGTGGTCTGGCGATTTGGCCAGTTCACGTGACACCCTCACAGGTGTTCCACAGGTGTTGTGCACTTCCATCTCTGCCTCCACCCTCACCTTTTCTAGCTGATCACCAACTCACTGGCAGCAGTGTGCTTCTCTTTTCTGGCTTCTCTGGGCAACCACCCACTCAGAAGCAGCACGGCGGGCTTCCCTGCCCTGCCTCCTTATCTGAGTGGGTAGCTGCTGGAGGAGGCAGAGGAAGGATATGCAGTGCTGCCAACAAGTGTGTGATCACCCAGAGGAGGCAAGAGAGGGAAGCATGTGGCACCTCTATTAACAATAACACCATTGACACAGGGGGTCATACAAAGGAGGGGCAGGATCTGTCCTTGACCATCCCAGAGTGCAGGACATGTAATAATGGGCTCAAGTTACAGGAAGCCAGATTTGGGTGGAATATCCAGAAAAACATCTTAAGTGCTAGAGCACTATGACAATGGAAACATTTACCTTGGGAGATGGTGAGTGCTCCATTGACGGAGGTATTAAAGAGAAAATTGGACAACCTCTGATTTGGATTCCTGCACTGAGCAAGGGAGTTAGATTTGATGGCCATATAGGCCCCTTCCAACTCAATTACTGTATTTTATGATTTCTTCAGACATATGAGATAAAACTCAGACTCTTTGAATAACAATTCATGTCAATCCCATAGAGGTAGCCATGTTAGTCTGTGCAAGCATTATAGGTAAAAACAAAATAAAAGTAAAAGTAAAAGAACAAATAAAAAGAACAAAATGTGGTAGCAGTTTAAAGACTTAACTTTTGTAATTTAATGTGAGCTTTCATGGACAAGTCTACTTCTTCAGACTTAAGAGAAATATATAAAATGGCAAATATTTATATATGGCATCAAAATACAAATCATGGTTGGTTGGTAAGCAAGTCAATGGTTATTTAACAGCTGAGTGATAGCCTGTTTGATATACAGATACAGTATATTCCATTCAAGTTTGTGCTGTAAAAGATGTAAGAACCTCTGGCATAGAATAACAATGAGCAGGGGAGTGGATTCGATTGCCACATGGGCCTCTTCCTTGCCTATTTGCAAACATCCGCAGTCCATCCCTGGTTGATGTTCTTTGGAACCAGAAAGGGACAATATATTTTCAGGAGCCATACGCTGGCTTCTTTCTCCTTCTGGCCTTTGGCAGCTCTCTCTTTCTGCATACCTGTTTTCCTAAATGTGCTTCTTTCTGCCTCCCAGGGAACAGCTGGAGATCTTAAAGGGACAGAAGTAGCCAAGCTTTCTAAAGGGACAAGTGGCTTTGCCAGCAGACTCTCTCTCATCACCGCAGTGACCAGCTTGAGGGTGGGTGGATAAAGCTTCAATTGCAATGATTTTAAAATCGCATGTAGCCCCCTCAACTTATACTGTATATGGTACAGCTGAAAAATTGATTGATTTTTTCTCAAGAGGGCACACATACCAACCCAAATACTATGTGACTACCATGTGACTTTAACCCAATGTCAAAAACCCCAATCCAATTCATTTCCATAGTGTAGCTACCCTCTCAGTTACATGATAAGTCTCTCAGAGAGCTGGGACAGAGAAGAGGGTCTCTACTGAAGACCTCTAAGTTCGGGTGAGTCATATGAGAGGAACAAATCTTTCACACATCTCCAACCCAAATACTATGTGACTACCATGTGGCTTTAACCCAATGTCAAAACCCCCAATCCAACTACCAATTCATTTCCATAGTGTAACTACCCTCTCAGTTACATGATGTGAGTTATATGGGAGGAACAAATCTTTCACGCATCCTGGCCCCAAGTAATTTAGCTCACAACCGGCAGAATGGATTCATCTCAAAAAACCTGGAAGCTAGTTGGTTCAAGATTGGTAACATTATCATCTCTATAGCACATGCCAGATAATAGTCTGCATCGTTACTGCATCCAGATGATGACTGAGAACTTCCAGAACCTCTTTTAGCATCAGTTGAGAAATAGAGATAGAGCTGGGTATCATCAATATATTATTAATTATTACAATCAGCCACAAAACAAAGAAACCAAATTGATACTGCTTATCAGTACGAGAAAGCCATATAAGAATTATATGTAAGAATTATATACAGAGAACAAATTTGAATCCTCATTAATAATTTTGCATTATTTCTAGTATGGTAGATAAACAGATAGATACTTTATTACAGTCAATGACCAATATCAAAAATACATACGGTATACATAAAATATACAATATAAAAAGCATATATATAAAATATTTGTGTATATAAGCAGCAGCACACTTTATGTGTATACAGTATATATACACATATACCTAAAATCTTGCTATTACTGTAACTAAACAGAATTATAGATCATAGAAGTTGGAAGGGGCCTATAAGGATATCGAGTCTAACCCCCTGCTCAATGCAGGAATTCAAATCAAAGGATATCTGCCAGGTGGTTGTCTAAGTTTCACTTGAATGCCTCCAGCAATGGAGCACTAACCACCTCCAGTAGCCCTTTTCTTCCTGTCTTTTCCCAGTGAAACTCTTGTGAGTGCTCCCTGTTTGCTTGCTCTGGTCACGAGCTCCCTGGGTCCTTCTCACTTTATTCCTCAGCTATGCTCTGTTAGGAGTCAACAATGATTAATGGAGTGGTTTGCCAATTACTTTAGAGTTAAACAAAACATTGCACAGAATATTGCTACTTTAGCTGTCACTTTTCTTGAAGAGTTAGAGAGGAGGATAGAGATATAAAATATAGTAATAGTGACTGGAATTTTCTTTAACGGGAAAACTTTGGGTATCCTCATAAAATAAACCATTTAATAAAATATGTTTCACAGTCTCAACCACACTGGAATAGCAGGGGCAAATATGGTGTATGCTAATATCTTCCTCCACGTTGGTGGGGATGCACTGAAATGTGCCAGGGTGGAAAATCTATGATATTTAGTAAAGTCTAGGCTATAAACATAATATCCTGGGGCAACGTTTTCTCAGATGCTAGGTTTTGTGAAACTTGGGTTCAGTCTACCTGGATGGCTACATAACAGATCTATTCTGTGATGGTTTCTTAGGCTGTCAAAAGCCCAAGCTATGACAGATCTGGAAAAATGAAAACCCATAGATAGCTAGCTTCTCATAAATAACTCTTACCCAGCCTGAAGGGTGTTTATCTGTTAAAGAATGTTAGCCAGAGGCCCTTAAAGTTTAACTCAGGCTAAAAACTAGTTATTTCATACCAGGCATGTGCTTTAAATGCCACCATCTCAGATTTTATGCCAAGTAGGGCATGAGGGATACAGTGTGGGCCCGTACTACTTCAAGGTGGCAGAAGTCTTTATATATGTATAGCTCTGCCCCATAAATAAGTTGGGCACTGCACTGCCCTGGAACACTTTTAATACAGATGATATATGTGAGCTCCCTATGAAGAAAAAAATTATAATCTCATAACAGTAGTAAATATTCTTGGAACATTCTTAGTGACACGGGTGATCTGAGCACTACACTGTCCAATTGTTTGGAAGAAAGACTATGTCCAAATATTTGTAAATCTTAACTTTGTTTGATGTCATGCCCATTTACCTTCCACTTACATTTAATGAATATTTTGGTGAAGAGTTTCAGTCTTTTGCTAGTTTATTACAGTCTGCTCCTCAGGGGAGTACGTTGTACAAGCCTGAGGGGGCCTCTTCTAAGTCCCACTTGTGAGAAGGCTAGAATGACTGTACCACCAGCATGCCATAAGGCAGAGCCTGTCTGCAGGTTTATGTAGATGAAGGTCAGTACTTGATAAAGACTGATCCCTGGAGCTGTATTTCTCTGTAGGCCTAAGCGTTGATCAATGATACAACAACTGTCCTTGAAACTTACTAGCTGTTCCACTAAGATATTTTTCCCCAGTTGGAGTAGTCATAAAACTTCCACCACAAGTTCTTGGCCTAGATTTTACTCATTACACTGAGCAAGCTGATTGATTGGTAATGGAGGGGCCAAACATTGTCCCTTTTTGTATATTGGGATGATGGCTGCTGTACACCAATCCATAGGGATCTGGTCTGTCTGTCTGATCAGTGTGAAGAGCACTGCCAACAGTCAGCATTTGTTTTAATCAATTCTGGCGGAAGCAGATCCCCTTTCTTAACTTGAGTTGAGCCATTAGGCTTTTGATGTCTGATACTGTAACTGGAGGCCAAAGGTGTGTGTGTGTGTTCTAAATTAATGTGACAGGAGAGGAACTTGGTCTGAACCAGCTACATACAGTGCATGAAATGGGGATCCACAAAAGTCAGCAAGGATGCAGCAAGTTATCTTCAAAACTTCCATCTGGAGAATGCCTGCTACAATGTGCTAGAAGAGTAAAGAATTCTAACAGTATTATTCATCAATATGTGACATCAAACTCTGGATGATCTGCCCCAGAAGCTTCATGTAGATGTTGAAAAGCGAAGGGAACAGTATGGAGCCTCCATGAGGCTAAGTAATATTCCCCAGCACCAGCTGCTAGGAACTCTCATGCAGATAAGACCAGAACCATTGCAAAATAGCACCCCTAAACCTGCCAGGCAAAGATGCCCAGAAATGATAGTATGAGTAATAATACTAAAGGGTGGTGAAAGAATAAAGTACCATAACATTTATTGGAATTGATACACAACCGTCTTTCAAAGAAGCACTCACAACCTCTGCCACCAGATGGGCCAGCCTATGTGACAGAAAAACAATTATTGGAGGAAACCGAGTTCCTGTTTTCAGCCTTTTTTAGTGGTCTAAGCATACAACAGCAAAGGAAGTCTTTTGAAATATAATAAGCAGCATACTTTCAGACAGAGAAAGATGAATACATTTCATCAACAAAAGATCAGCTCGTCAGATGGTGATGAATAAAGAGGTAAACTACAACTTTTTATGATTTGGGAGTGGAATCTTTCTTTTAACAATTGTATTTGTTTTATTTTGCAGTATTGCCTTCAATTGCTAAACTTTCAGTTAGGATAAAATTAATTGTGAAGCCCAGTTCTCTTGTTTTGGCAAGCTGCTCTGGAATTTAAATGGACATTTAAAAATGTATGAATGCATGTAGTGGATATTTATGGAAGATGAATTATTATGTTCACATGATTTAACTATCATTTTCATAGTGCATCTGTCTGTGTTTGTAGTAGCAGTGGCTGCCATAATTACTCTCTGCTAGCTCCAATCTTCCGGCAGAATCTGAAAAGATATAATAGAGGGGGCAGGATGAGGGAGGAGCCGAGATACTCCAGATCCAAACCTCTTCCAGCTAAGTCCATCTACAATGTCAGCACAAAGTTTGGTCAGAGTCAAAACTGTACTAAGCAATTTCCAACCTTCTCAGGCTGGGATGGGTTTTGATTCAGCATAGGGTATGACCAAATGGAAGTTTATGCCAGGCTGATGCAAATATCTCCATATTGAACTTCGGCATTTAAATTGCTACTGTTGTTTGCACAACAATGTATAATTATCTGTGCCATTATCATCATCCTCTTACCCATCCCTTTTGCCAGTATTCAGAACCCCCCTTTTTAAATGTTTAGCAAGTAAAGTAGTGCTCAACTGAAAAGGCATTTGAATTACTGCTGTATCAGTTTAGTGCTATAGTGCTAAGTTTAGCTATAGTGCTAAACTAGGGGGGATGTATTTTTTAAATACAATTTGCAAATTGAATTGCAGTTGCAATCCTTACCTGTGAGAGCAGAAAACAAACAAAATCAATATGGTTCACTCCCACACTATGCCTGCTCCATGCATCATCAGTGATGTCATCTGGATACACCAACAACAGCTGTTGAGGACCGAAATGGGCAATCAAACATGCTAAAGGCAAGAAAAATAAATCAAATGGAAATGCTACAGAAACACACAAGCTCTGCTGGCTCAACATGGGAAAAGATCAGATCTGCTTATCAGATTGTACAATGAATGCACACGGACAGGGTTGCAGCCTAACATTGAAATGTTCTGCCACCTTGCATCTTCCCTGAGGAATTCTGTGAGCTGTAGTCCAAAAACACAAATCTGTACACTTCTAATTTTTTACTGTTAGCAATCAATGCAAGGGTTGCCATCTTCTGCATTGCTTGCAGATGGCTACTGATTCAACGTAGGTTTTGGAAAATCCCATCTGTGAAAGCACATGTAAGCACAATTCAGGGAAAGTTTAAAATAATACAAGTAGTAACACCAGCGGCTGCTGCAGCATCACTAATAGAAACAACAAGAAGAAAGCAAAACAACCAACACCAATAAGAGAAGCAACACTAAGCATGCAAGGAAAATCACTGTTTAATAGGAAGTGAGGTGAGCATATCAAGAGCATTTTCAAACTTCTCTGTAAGAGTTTTCAAACCCCTGAAGAACAATTTTGTGAAAACATGGAACACTCTTCCTTTTTCAGTTATGAAACAGTGATGAGGAAAGATCATGCCATAAAGGGTATGTCACAAGAAGTCAGTTCCTGCTTCCTTTGATTTTGTAAGTGACACAGAACCAGAAAAAAATGGAAACATTTTGTAACATGATCATGTCAGAAGCCAACTTCAGTCCTTGAACTGTTAATAATGAATAAATTACAAAAGATAGCCTTCTAAAAAAGCAGTTTGCTACATCTCTCTCACTCTCTTTCTTCACTTGGAGATTTGACAGGCTGGGCCTACATTAAAGGCAGAACTTGCAATCAATATTCATCTTAATTATTGTGTATTAAGTCATGTTATTAATTGTTGACATATCCTAAAATTTTAATTTGAAATTGTTTCAGAAATTTTGACATACATTGTGTGATTTTTTAAAATCATTTTTGGTTGCTGATACTTTTGGTAGATGTGTTGCTGAATTCTAAGACAATCCATAGCCCTACGTATTTAGAGGATAAGCCTGAGAAAGCGTTGGGCTCAAAAGATTCTGATGATGTGGGGATACAGCTAAGACCCACCCTTCAATTTACCACCTCAGCTGGAGGTCTTCCAGAGTTTTGCATGCTCCACTTTTGGGTGGAGTGGGAATATGGAGGATGGGTTCATATGTGCACATCTGTTCCAATCATCCTTTGATCCCCACATTTTCAAACTGAATGCTGAATAGGGCTTCTCTTAAGCCAAGATGCAGAGAGACAAGGGTGCTAACTCTCCACAGGCTGAACTACTCTGCACCAAATTACCGGCAAAATGATACAATGTGCATATTTCTGCAAATTTCATTTGATCACACTATTATTGTAAAAGTTTGAATTTTCCTGTCTCCCAGATTTTTTCCATTATCTGTAATTTTCAAGGTAATCACAAATGTTCTTCCTTCTATGGTATGCATAATTATACCAGGAATTATAAGTACAAATTCATCAGGCACATGGGAAGAAGGAAAGAGAGAGAGGGTACCAGGTGAAGTATAATTTGTATTGGCCAGAATCCTCTTGGTGATTTATGCTTGTGTAAGTGAAATTGTTTAAGTCTTGGCATCAAATTGCCACTAATTAATGAGGTGCTGGTTGTATTATTGAGTGCACATCCAATCATAAACTAAGGTGAACACCCAGCAATGCAACCAATACCTTGTTAATGAGCAGCAATATGTCAATAAGATTTTTTCCATTTACGGAGGCATAAATGTTCACATGCATTGGGGTATTAAAAATAAGTATCTTTATTGCTGCTATGTGCCATCATTCCTCTTCTGACTTATCATGACATTAATAAGGTTTTCAAGTTGTTTTAAATATTCAGAGAGAGCTTTATCATCTCTATACCCCTGTGAGTATATATGGCTAATTAGGCATTTAAATCTGGGGCCAGAACTACATCTTTGCAATAATTTGGAACAAAGGTTTTTACACAGGTTAGCTACAAATGCACTCGTTTAATGTGATTATTCACATTGAAACAACCAATAGCTGTAGCCAGGACTGAAATCACCATTGTAGGTGCAGCTGGGATCATAGAGGAGGCAGCAAGTCTCGCAACAGAGACTATCAACAGGAAGAAAGCGTATGCTACTGCAGTCCTCCTTACCTTAGTGATGGCCTGGACAATCTATAGATAAAAGAGTCCCCCCTGGGAGTCCAGTTCTAACCCTTCCTTGCCTTGCCAACAAGCTATGCAAGCCCTACTGCAGTTGTTAAAATGGGCAGCATTTTTAAACCACAGGAGGGCTTGTGTCATTTGCAACCACACTGCAGATTCCACCCAGACTTTGTCCAGAGTATGTGGTTTTAGCCCAGTGTCCTGATTCCTAATTTGATGTTCTGTCCACGCCATCACACTGGATATCAATGCAGAGCCAGAAGACGTAATGATAATTACATGCACATTGTATTCTACTTTTATATGGGCCATATCCCTCCCACCTACATATTTTGCTACAACATAATCCCCCACCATTCCTTTAATGGTGCTGAGTATGCCACCTACATTACATTGACACTCGTACTCTCTGCACAGATCTCTTTCTCTTCTTCTGGTTTCGTGCTGCCTCATGACCATCATCTGTTACTGGAGGATGCTCATTAGTCCTCCCATTGCTGTTTAGGTCTACTAACTTTTCATATTAGCAATCTATTCTCCTAAACTTGCATTCTGGGACAATCCACATCCAGTTTCATTGTGAGGTGTGCCCCTCCTTGTCCTAACAATATAATCCATCTGTGTTAGGGATGTCTATGAGCATTTGCACAGTTGGAATTTTAGATGTTTTAATTGAAAGCCTTATTCTGATGAGCAGCTGAACAGCTGAGAACAAATACAAAGATTTTATGCACAGCTTTGCTTACAATCATTTTAGCTAAACACTTGCCTAATAGATAATAGCTAGAAAATCAATATGATTGTTGTACTGTTTACACTGAAGCATCATTTCTCCAACATATATTTCTTCATTCTTAAATATAGGACTAAGTCTCCACCGGCCTCAAGTCCTTTCCTACAGAAGGATGATTCAAGATATTCAGATTGCCTTGGCATCAAAGTTGTCAGAGTCATCGCCTCTCCTAAATAATACAAGATCGGTGTCAAATGTCACAGCGGAGATGCTCCAGAGCTCTGTGTTCCAGGTCATCTTGCCTGCCATATATTTGGTTATCTTCCCCATCAGCATTCCACTCAATTCCATTTCCTTGTGGTTCCTTTGCCGATATTCAAGGCCTTGGACTCCCACCATTGTGTTCTGCATTAATTTAACCATTGCGGACTTGGTCTACAGCATGACCCTCCCTTTCCAAATAGTCTACCATCTAAAGAGAAATGTTTGGCCTTTCGGGGAGGATCTGTGTCGCATTGTCACTGTGCTAGCCTATGGAAACATGCACTGTTCCATTTTAACAATGATGAGCATCAGCATTGAGCGCTATCTGGGAATTGTTCACCCTTTGCACTATAAGGCCATAAGGCCCATTAGAACATCTGTCCTGACATGCATAATCATTTGGATGCTTGTCTTATTGACACTCATGCCTCTCATGCAGAACAATCTAACCATACGTGTGCTACAGCTGCCAATGACCACCTGCTTTGACGTTTTGCCAAAAGAGATGTTTAAAACACGAACAGACTTCATCATTTACTTTGGTTCTCTGATGTTTTTCTTCTTTTTCCTACCTTTGCTTGTCATGGGATTTTGCTATATCTCCATCATCTTCACACTTCTTCATTCTTCAGCACAACGCAGAGAAACCAAGAAGCAAACTGTTTATTTGATAATAGCATTGCTGTTGGTGGTCACTATTTGGTACCTGCCTCATATTGTCATATCTGTCATTCATTATGTCCTCACTTTCCAAGGCAGTTCATTTTATAAGGCATATAAAGTATCACTTGCAGTTGCCAGCTTTAATTGCTGCTTTGATCCATTGGTTTACTATTTTGGCTCCAAAGAGTTTCGGCAAAAGATACAGAAGAAGCTCTGCAGGTGTGTAGTTGTTGGTTTAAATGAAGATACCCCTATTTTTTCAGAGTATGTTCTGCAAGTAAAACCAATACAAAATTTACCAAAGATATAAGCTGCATCTACTCTGCCTTATAATAAACTTTGTCATTACACTGAATTGCCATGAAGAAAGTTTAGGACACATGGAGAACCTCAACAGCAGATTGCAAAACTTGGCTAGACTGGTCTAGATTGTTTCTCTAGATTGTGGTTCATACAAAGATATTATGAGCAACCATAGACACACACTGTTGATTGTCCATAATGCATAGAACAAATGTCGAAAAAACCGTGGTTGACTGGAAGTAGACATCTACTGATCTCATCTTCCTAGACAAGTGGTTCCCAAATATTTTGAACTCGTGGCTCCCCTGATTTACTGGCAACTCTCCATGTCTCCCCAATATGATACTTTGGGTGAGGCAGAGAACAAGGGAAGGATGAGAGGATTCTACAGTGCTCCTGGCTGGGTTTGGCAGCACCACAGGGCACTACAGCACACACTTCAGAAACCATGGCCCTAGACTATTTTAAATTACCCTAAATGCTCAGTTACCTTTGAGTGTAGACTCTTGGAAGACTAGGATCTTGAACAACTCCTATACTTTAACGTTGTTGATGGTCTGAAAAAGCTAGCCATACGTAAGCTGTACTCTATGGTGTGAAGAATATCTGACAAGAAAGTTATAACAGATGTAACCATTATTCTTAGAATGACATGGCAGGTACAAATCTACAAACATACACTTCTAAGAAAGCTTTATATAATGTTCCTTTGTTCTGATCTTACATGAAGTTAATTTAATATTCATTTGTATGGCTCAATTAATAAAAATCTTTTTCAGTTTAAGATGTTATGGTATGTTAAATAGTGATCTCCTTAAAATATAGTATATTGAGGCAATATGCACATGTGGCAATGTATCCTACACTGTAGTTAGTTTTAGCCTTCAACTCTTTAAGCTTTAAGCCTCTTCCAACTGCATCATTCTATATGATAGTATTCATTTGCAGCTATTATTTATACAGGTTAAGCTGCATGATAGTTGAATCGACTCTGTCTTGGCTATGAGGTTTAAGCTCTAGTGTTTATTTCAGGTAGAAATTAAGGTACACGATAAGTGCATCAGTATACCCATGTTTGATTGAGGCAGGAGAGGACTGATCTGTGGTCTGTAATTCCTTGCTTTTGAGGCATATAGCTTAAAACTTTTTGTTTTAAAACCAGGGAGCTTCCCCTCCTTTTAGAGCATCCATTTATGGAGCGAACTGCCAACATATATAGTAGCCCCATGAACAAATGGATTTTAAATATGATTTTGAAAAGTTAGTGGAAAACTGACAATCAATTATGATAACTAAATGGAATCTCTGACTTAAATCCAATTGATACTCTAGGCTGGAGCAGATCCATTGAATCAATCGGACTTACAAAAGTGCTGACAACAATTGATTCAATGGGTCTAGTCTGATTATGACTAGAGATGGGCACGAACCTCACTTTGGAAGTTCGTGCCGATTTATGCACATAGGACCACAGGTGCAATACACTCCCTTTCCTCACCTTCTTCCTGATTCAATGGGTCTAGTCTGATTATGACTGAAGATGGGCACGAACCTCACTTTGGAGGTTCGTGCCAATTTATGCACACAGGACCACAGGTGCAACACACACCCTTCCCTCACCTTCTTCGCTGGATCCCCCACTCACCAGCTGATGTGTGCTCCTCTCCTCCTCCTCCTCCTCTTCAGCTGTTCAGCCAGTCCCTGGCAGGAGCATGGGCTCCCCTGCCCCACCTCATTGTCTAATTGCCCACTCAGACAAGAAGGCGGGACAAGGAAGCCTGTGCTCCTGCCATGGACTGGTTGAACAGATGAAGAGAAAGATAGAGGAGTGTGCTCTGGCTGGTGAGTGGAACGTTGGCGGAGGAAGGGAACCACAGGAGCCATGCATACAAACCAGGATGAACCTCTGAACTGAGGCTCGTGCCCATCTCTAGTTAGGAGTACATGCTGGATTTAGGCCTCTGTGTTTAGAACCATGAATGTTAAAGTCTGATGCTTTCCCACAGGCATCTGGCTGGTCTCTATTGGGAAAAGAGCTTTATCTTATCCCATGTTATTCTTTGTATGTTCCTACGTTATCTTGCCTCACCAACCTAGCAGTTTGAAAGCATGCAAATGCGAGTAGATAAATAGGTACCACCTCGGTGGGAAGGTAAAACGGTGTTCCCTAGTCACGCTGGCCACGTGACAACGGAAACTGTCTTCAGACAAGTGCTGGCTCTATGGCTTGAAAACGGGATGAGCACTGCCCCCTAAAGTCGGACACGACTGGACTGAAAATGTCAAGGGGAACCTTGATCTTTACCTTTATGTTATCTTAAGGCCAGATGTTTTTGGGTTGCAGCTCCCACTCAGTCTAGCCAACACACCAGTTATGAAATATAATGAGAGTTGTAGTCCATCAACATCTGGATATACAAGTTGCCCAATCCTGCCATCAGAAATAACATCTGGAATAACACCAAGAAAACAGCAGCTTTCTATTTCAAGAATTTACTTATATAAGTAAATTTGAACCATATGGTTTTGTCAGAAGCCAAACTTTGAGAGCATCTGTGCTGTATTTATTTTGCAACCTGTCTTGAAGTTCCCATTTCTTGAAGAATAGTGTGTCTGGGATTTCCCTACTCCTTCAGATGTATAACTGTACTGAAACAGTCTTGCATCATTATCAGTCTTGTCTGTTCTTTGCTTTTTACTGGTTCAGGCAATCAAAAAGCATTGCCTGTGATGCACTAACTGTTCCCAGAGAAAGATTTATATGAAGAATACAAAAAACTGATCACCCATAGGTCAGCTAGCCACAAATTTCTCAACAGCAGTGTCCATGATCTTTTCTGCCTGTTTTTCAGCTGCTGTAGCCCCAGTCACATTGGGAATATGAGTGGAGTTTTGGCAGGAACATAAACAGGTTACCTACCTGTAACCATGATTCTTCTACTGGTCCTCTGTAAATTCACACAATTGGGTTGTTTTGCGCCTACGCAGGATGTTTCAGAAGTTTCTAGAGCTCAAAAAACATTTGACAATGAGACATCCCTCCATGGAGTGCATGCTCCGCCCTCCAAATGTCTCCTCAGTTCCTTCCATAGCCCACCGCTGTCAAAGTAGTATATATAAAAGACAATGTGACGGACGGAGGGGAGGACGGGAGGGATGTGTAACACTTAGGTAACTTGTCTTTCTTCTTCGTGGCCTCTGTGAATGCACACAATTGGGTGAATGACAAGCTCACTTACTGGATTGTGGGATGTCACAGTAGAAGGGATGTCAGGATCGCTCTGCCAAATGCAGCATCATTCTTTGCCCTGACATCAAGGTGATAATGCTTGACAAAGGTTGATGGATTGAACCAAGTCGCTGCTTGGCAGATATCTGGTAGTTCTATTCAACGGTGGAGAGCCGTGGATGTCGATAATGTTCTGGTGGAATGAGCCTTTAAATGTTCAGTGGGTGATTTGCCTGAAAGTTCATAGGCCAGTGAGATAGTCTGAACTATCCAACGAGAAGGGCATGACAGAGGATGAGATGGTTGGACAGGGTCGTCAAAGCAATCAACATGAATTTGACACAACTCTGGGAGGCAGTGGAAGACAGGAGGGCCTGGCGTGCTCTGGTCCATGGGGTCACAAAGAGTCGGACATGACTAAATGACTAAACAAAAACAACAACATCCAACGAGAGATGCTCTGAGCTGATACTGGAGCACCCTTGTGAGGACCTTGGAAACATAGGAAAAGTCTGGGAGACTTCCTAAATGCATTTGTCCTGTTGATATAAAAGGTTAAAGACCTTCGGACGTCCAGCATATGGGGCATGCACTCGATGGATGTAGAAGGAGAAGGGAATACAGTTGGTAAAATTAAAGGTTGATTCAGGTGGAAATCAGAGACAATCTTAGGCAGAAATGACACATCAAAATACATGGTGACTTTGTCTGGATGGAACTGCAGGTATGGTGGGTCTGATCAAAGAGCTGCTAATTTGCTGGCACGTTTGGCAGATGTTATTACCACCAGAAAAGCTGTCTTCAGGGATAACAGTTTTTCATTACAAGTAGCCATTGGTTCGAAAGGTGGTTTAGTGAGGGTATTTAGTACTAATTGTAATGTCCATTGGGGTACAATTTGTTGTCTTGGAGGTCAAATATTTTGAAGTCCTTTAAGGAACCTTTTTAAAGTTGGGTGTGAAAAAAGTTTCGCTGATTGTGAATGAGGAGGTTGATGGGCCATGATAGCTGATATATAGACTTTCAAGGTTGAATGTGAGAGTCCCAGATCAAAGAGGTGTAGAATGAAGGTAAGTATTGTTCTAAGGAAAGTTGGAGCTGCAATCAGGTTTTGTGATTCAGTGAAGGAAATGAAGGATTTCCATTTGTTTTGGTAGAGCTTCTGTGTAGATGGTTTTCTAGCTTGTTCTAAGATGGTTCGAAATGTGAGAGTATCCTCCAAGCTGTCAAATTCAGAGACTGGATGTTGGGATGAAGGATCGCTCCGTTGTCCTGAGACAGGGGGTTGGGTATCGATGGTAGATGGAATACATCCATTGACATTGAACTCAGGTGGGTGAACCAGGGTTGTCATGGCCACCATGGAGCGATGAATATGACATCGGTTTGGAATTGGCAAATTCAAATGATTGATCTCTGAATCAAGGGAATCGGAGGGAACAGGTATAGTAACTCTCTGGTCCAGTCTACCATGAAAACATCTCCCAGTGATTTGGAGTTGATGCCAGCTTGAGAGCAGTACCTTTGACATTTGGTGTTGTGCCTTGATGCAAAGAGATTGCAAAACTCAGTGGAGGGGTTTTATCTTGATTTAGATAATCAAAAACTAAGTCCGTTTTCTGGGTGGGTGGTTCTTGAATGTCCAACTTTAATGACTTAGCCATCCTAAGGATTAATTGAGAATATGAAGTAAAGTTCTCTGAGGGCGAGGAAGGGTGGTTTTCTCCAACATCAGATGTAGGGGAAGGGAGGTTAGTAGGTGATTCTTTGGATACAATGGAGCCAGAATCTTCAGATGATGAGTAAGAAGTGGAAGGTGAACA